AATTTAAGAAAATTTTAAAAAATTACAAAAAAATAAAAAAAACATTCAAAAAACAAAACAAAATAAAAATGAAAATGAATTCTGCGCAATCTAACCAAATGAATTACGAAATGCAGTGGTGGCGATAACAAAAAAAAAAATTACAAACACATGAGAAAATTAAGCATGCATATGTACATACATACCCTGCAAACCATTTTTTCAGAGTATTCTGCATTGTAAAGAAATTTTAAAGAATTCCTTAAGATTTAATTCGATTTTTTGCCGAATTTTCTAAAATGAAATAAATTACGCACACTTCCATTCGTTTACGAAATTTCGGAAGAAAATCTGTGAAGCAACGAAAATAATGCTGCTATGTGAAGAATATCTTTCAGAATTTTTCCAGAATTTTCTTTATTTTTCGTACAGAAATTTCTTACGAGTTCGTGTCAACCCCTTCATATAATTTTCTTTGAAAATTCGTAAAAAAATCGTTACAGAAATCAGATACTCCTAACGATTTCCTTAAGATTTCGGGAACTTTGGTTTGCAGGGTATGTATGTGACAAAAAAAGTTAAATGAAAGCGAAAATGAACTCAATTTACTTTTGACAAAGCTTATTAGAGTGGTGGCGGTAACTAAAAACAAAACCAAAAACAAAATCGGTTGTACCAAATTTTTTTAAATAAATAACAATTTACAAAACAAAAAAAAATAAAAAATAAAAAAATGGTTATATAAATGGTTGGTTGTAAAAATTGGTTGTATCAGTGGAATATAACTTTTAAAATTTAAAGAAAACTAGCGAAGGTGAGAGAAAACTTTTAGTGGGAAACAAAAAAAAAACACTTGAATTTTTCAAAGACAGTGCAAAGTTAGCAAACACTAAGCTAAAATTTATTGAAGGTGCTGTACCACAAAAGTTACGCCAAACCACCACTGCACCGTAACAAACGCTATATAACGGCGCACATAGGGGTATTTAGCCGATTTATGCGGCCAAAATTATTTTTATGAATATTTCAACTCGAAATGTGTAGAAAAGACGTGTTTTGACATACAGAATTGTAAATGCTTAAAATAAAGTGAATATACGTTAAAATATTAACACAGTTGCCATCTGTTAAAAATTTTGTTCAATTAGTTAAATGAATTGCTGCAATAAGGGTATCAATTGAAATGGGTTTAAAAGGCTTTATCTCTAAGGAACCTCCCAGAGTTTAAAAAATCAAATTTAACTTTAATTAAAGTAATTAATAATTCAAATATGTATTACAGTATAGGTAAGAAATGGGTGTATTCGAGGTGCAATTAATGCGGCAGTGTTACTTTTTTATGAAAGAGTATCACGTTCTACGCAAAAATTTGGGCGAACAAATCAATTGACAATCATTGGCAAATCAAAAGCAATATAAAAATTTTTACTGCACACTTTCTGTTACATTTTGGAAAAGTTTCAGTTGAGCATCAGCAACATGTCTGCAATATTGCGGTAATTATTACGTAGCTCGAACGCACCCAATGTAATAAGACTAAATTTTTGTAATAATAACAGTCTTATTTATTGTTAAGAGAATTTTGTAAGTATTAACTTAGAGTAAATTAGCGTCCTCAATTACTTAAATATCGGAGTGTTCGTATTTTCAACGAATTGCTTTTCCATACCAAGGTTATTAAATGCAACGAGTTTGGTACAAATTGATAAATCGGTTACCGAAAAATACATTTGCAGTCAAAAGTACGCGGCGCCACGCCCTTTATCCAAAAAATTATAATAATTTTATTTAATGCTAAGGCGTTATTTCAAGAATCGATTTTGAGTGAATTAGCTTCAGTAGTTATTGATTTATCGCAGTTTTCGCGTTTCTGTAAATTATCATTATATGGGAAGTAAGTGGGTTATCGCCTGATTTCAAGAATTTTTAGTAGTTATGTTAGATACAGCCTAAGCAAGGCTCATAACGAGTTTGGTACGGGCTAGTGAAGCGGATACTGAGATATAGCATTTCATCTTAAGTGGGCAGGGCCACACCCATTTTCTAAAAATTTAATAATAATCCTATTTTGTTCCAAAATTGTATTTTACATACTAATTTTTAACAATTTGCATACAATATTTAATGAAATATCGTAGATTTATCTAAATTGACATTTATCTAAATTTAAAATCTTGTATACCCAAAACTATTTCTTTAATTATCACATAACACCAATGTAAAGGAGAACAAATGTTTATTCCGCAGTATATTACATAGTTGGGTTCGCCCTACATTCCCGCAGATTTTTAGCAACAGGTCCAAAAGGCCCTAGAAAACATGACTTTTGCTAATATCTCGAAAACTATTTATTTTTTAAATTAATTGGATTCATATTCTAGTTAAGCGGCCTCAAATTCATTAATTTTAGTGTTAAAATAGATCTAAAGTAGTGGTACTATATACTAGTTGCGTTTTTAGATTTTTCCTTAATACTTTTTCTAAGTTAAGAAATGCCACTTATCTGCCATTTTCTGCGGGCAGTCTTTTCACACTCTATTAGCCAAATTTCCAGGATTTCAATTGAACAAATAATAATAGCGCGATCTCTCCCAGGTATACAACAAATTCCTTAATATTCACAACAATTAACAAAAAAATACTCGTTGAAAACCGCTATTTCCATTACATTTAAATTGAACTCTTGCTCAATAAAATGATTTAAAAAAATTTACCCTTAAATGCATTATTACCTTCTGTATGCGGATCCATCACTATTTTTTAAGAATACAATGCAGAAATCAAAATACTAAGTTAAAACCGTCACGATCTTTCTAGAAAGCGAAAATGTATTTACAGCGTTGAGACGAATAACTGTTACCCAGGTTTTTTTGAGAAATAAAAGGACCCTTTATAGATTTTCCGAAAAAAGTATTTTATTGTTCATTTTCCACAGATTTTACAATAGTTGTATTAGTTAGTTTTTAAATTTTGATCCTTATCTACATTTGCCAACAGTGTAAACTTTGAAAGAAAAGTTCATTTGGCACGCAAGTCTTTTTCCGGTGTATTTTTTCTTGGGCTTTGTACAAAAAAATACAAAAAAGAAAAAAACTGTGAAAGGTTGGTCGAATGAATGGCCGTCCTAGTCACCAGTGCCGAGTCTATTCGATTTTTAAGTATGAGGCCTTATGTTGGACGAAAGGGCGAGTATAGGGGACTCAAAATAGAGAAAATTTGCCTATGCTTACAGAAGATAATGAATAAATTAACTGACGAGGACCTGCGTGTCAAGTCAAAGTTTGCACTGCTGGTAAATGTAAATAAGGATTAAAATTTAAAAACTAACTAATACAACTAAAGCAAAGTCTGTGGAAAATTAACAATAAACTACTTTTTTCGCAAAATCTATAAAGGACTCTTTTATTTCTCAACAAACCTGGGTAACAGTTATTCGTCGCCACGCTGTATAAGCAGTGTTAGAATATTATGTTTCCGGTCAACGGTGAGCGTTCGCTGTGCAAGTTAGAAAAGTGAGGGGGACTAAGAAATGTTATTTGGAATGTTCTGTATCGAAAGTGACTAATTTTTTAAGTTTTCTCCAAAATTTTGTCAAATTGGTTTTAGGCCGCCTAAATCGTTCAAATACCCCTATGTGCGGCGTCCACTGCACTGTAACAAACGCTATATAACGGCGTGTGAAACCACGCCACGCAGCTAAGCTGCCACTGAAGGGTAACATCGTTACATAGCGGTATGCAGAACCACCATAACTATCGCTGAGCCGTGGCGCGATATGGCAGCAACAACAACATCAACGAGTCAACAGCAGTGAGTAGCAGTTTGCAGCTTTGTTGTATGATGTACTATACATATGTGAAACACCACCATCATTTTTCTTAAATTCAGTTTTCCTTTAAAACTTTTCTAAAAATTTTTACTACTTAAATATTTTCTGAAACTTTGGATTGCATTCTCAAACAAAATTTTAAAGACCTACTGTACTTTCTTGTATTTCATACATACATTTAGATTACTTGTATTTATATTACATACAGAAATTTCTAAGATTATATTCAACACTTTAAAATTTGACTGATTGAATAATACATATGTATATGTTACTGTTTTTCATTTTGGAATTTCAGCTTCAGTGGTACAGTGATGTACAAATTTAATATTTTTTTTGAAACGTAACTTTTCAACAATTTAAAGTTTTTACAAAAATTTTTCCTCGATTCTTTGCAACATTAGGCAGGAGTCATATTTTGGAATTTCATTAATTTTTCTTCGCAAATATTCGATAAAAATTTAATACGCATTTTCGCCTATACCATACTTACTATCAGGGAACGGATTTTTAGGACCTAAAAACCTATAAAAAAGGCAAAATAAAATAACGAAATAGGACGGAAAAGGCAAAATAAAATAGCGAAAAAGGCAGGAAAGGGCACTAGGTAGTGCAAAAAAGGCAAAAAAAGGCAAAACAAAATATCGAAAAAGGCAAGAAAAGGCAAGAAAAAGGTATTGCAAAAAAAGCAAAATAAGGCACTAAAAAAGACAGAAAATACGAAGAACAATCAAAAATTACATTTATTTTAGAAATGTTTATATTACAAGTAAAAAGAGAAAAACTATGAACTAATTTCATTATATGAAAAATTTGTACTTTGAATCTTTGACTATTTTATCATTTCGAGTTTTTAACTCATAAAACTTTAATCTGTATAGTTGTAGTAACATTGAACCACAAGATGCATTTTGAAGTTTTCTGGCACCATTTTCATTCGATTTTCGCGAAGAAAAGCCTTGAATGCACTAAATGTGCGCTCGACGTAAGTTGATACAAGTGGCACCCAATTTAAATATGGAACGTTTGAAACGTTCATATTATCAGGAATAAGGGCGTTTGCCTCGCCCTTAACAATTTTATCCACACCCCTTATTGTCTCCAAGCCTAAGTTAGCTGAGAAAACGGCTTTGAATTTTTCCAACACCAATTTGGCAATAGGCCCCTGCGCTTCTATAAGCCGCTTCTCAATGTTATCCAAAATATTTAATACCTCACCAACTGGAGTTCCTACAATTACATAAAAAGGGTATGTGAATTATTAATTTTTTACTGAGAATTTTGTTTTTCCGCAACCTGTTTTCTGTAGACGTTCCTCTAAAAGAAAACCAAAATTGCATTTTATATATATCAAATTCCCCTGAACCGATTTTTTGCTCAACAATTGCTTCGAGAATCTGACACATGCTGCATCGTCCGTTATTTGGTCAATTATTCTTTTGATGGAATCATAGTTTTCGGCATAATATACGGCTGCAATTAGCCATGTGCCCCATCGAGTTATCACCTGTATAAATTTTCAAATAATTATAATTAAAATTAACAACAATAGCAATTTATCTTGACATACCGGCTGAGGAGGCAGAGGAAGATTGGGTTCCATTTCTTTGAAAACTGCCACCCTGAATGGGCTTTTCAAGAAAACTTTTTTTAAGTTTGAAATTAAGACGTCAACATCTGAGTACTTCGAGCGTAGAGATTCGCAGACCCGGTGTACGCCATGTGCGACGCAGGTGATATGAATCATATTAGGATAAAGCAGCTTCAATGATGACGCACTTTTCTTCATGTAGGGTGCTGCATCAGTCACAAATACCAACACTTTTTCACGTTGAATGTTGAAAATGTGCATAGAATCGTCAAACAGTGTTGCGATTGTTGATGAGTTCACCTTATCCAACACCTCCACCGTCAAGAGATAGCCGCGTCCGCTTTCACGCAACGGTCCAACAATAACGTTGGTTACACTGCGGCCTGCCTTATCTGTAGTTTCATCGATGGAGACAAAGATGGGGCTTTCTCCTATTTCTAACCGAATTTTCTCCAAAACGGACTCGTAACAATCCTTCACGTAATTTTTTCTAAGAGTTGATTCATCGGGAAGGGATTCCTGAACGTATTTTTCAAAGAATGATTTGAATTCCACACTCTTCAATTTATAAAGTGGAATTCCGCATGCAATCATCATTTTAGTAATATCTGCGTAAAATACATTCTTTTCCACAAATGGTGCTATCATTTGGGTCTTGTTTTTCTTTATTTGTAATCCTTTTATATGTTTTTCACTTTTAATATGCTGCTGAATATAATATTTTTTTTCGTGATTAACTTTTACTGAACAAATATTGCAAAATAAAACGGTCCCATCAGTACAAAATACATCCGAACCAAACTCGGCAATCAGAGTGTGAATTTTTAAACTCTTGGTAATTTTAGACTTCGGCATTGCTTTTTTAGTTTTTACACTGAATAACTTTTTGTTTCAAATAACGGCTGGCAAACTCTATTGAAGTAAAACAGTTGTTAGTTGTGCACATCAGCAACTGTGTTGATAGATTTTAGCACGCAACAGAGTGACATGAAAACTACAAAATTTATTTTTGCTTAAGTATTCACTACTTACACACTGCGTTTTTCTATACATACTAATTTTCGAATATGGGCATGTGTATATTTCTTAATCTTTAAAAAAAAATTGTAAATGCTATAATCACTTTTTTAAAGGTAGAAAGGGCAAAAAAAAGGCAAATATCTTAAAACAGGCAAAAAAAGGCAAATATCTTAAAAAAGGCAAAAAAAAAGGCAAATATCTTAAAAAAGGCAAAAAAAGGCAGCATCAAATGGGTATATATGGAATCAGGGAAAGATAAATCGTGGACATTCTTGATCGAATATACTCTATCTCTTTAGCAGAAAAAAAGGCAATTTCCATAAAATCCGTTCCCTGCTTATTATACTACAAATTCTAGAGCACCGCAGATTTGATGAAGTGGAATTTTACCACTTCGAAATATTCCGTTTGAAATATAGTAAAATATTGCAACGATTATAATTATTAATAAGCGTTTTCCTCAGTTTTCTATGCCGTGCCAACAAAATTTAAAATTTTACAATTTTATTCATTTTTTTTTTTTCTCAATAATATAACTGTTCGATAAATTTCTATAGATCTTTTGCTTTATGTGTTTGCCAGATATCAGATGTTGAACTTGTATTCAAAGATTTACAAGCAAAATTTTCAAAAGTTACCAAGCGTGTTTTTCAAAGTCGTCCACTTTCAACAAATCAGGAAAAAGTTCACGAATATAAAAAATCTTTAATAGAAACTTACAACAATATTTTAATTGAATCAATTAATTCGGAACAACAAGGAAACAAGCCAGCTTCTATAATTAAAAGTTTACCGCGGTGCAAAGAAAAACTACTTCAGTGTTTTAAAAAAATTGGGTGTAAAGTTTTAGTACCCGAAGATTTTTCAATTCTTATAAAAGAAGATATTTTAAATTCTGAAGTAGATTCCGACGACGCCTTTGCTGACGCTTGTTCAACTGGCACACCAGAAGTTGTTTTTTGAATTCATTTAAAGATTTTTTACAAATTGAAGAAACGCCTTGCGTAACGATTTGTTTACCAAATATTAATTTTATTGCATATCCAAACGGCATAAAAATGGAAACACCTGAGCAAAAGAAATCTTTTATTAGCTTGTGTGTATCTATAATCCGAGAAAACTATAATGGTGACCCACTATCACTCGACTCATTCATTGACAAAATCAATTTAATAGAAGAATTGTCGGATGAAAGTTTAACTACAACATTTATAGCATTTTTAAGGTCTAAACTCGAAGGCAAAGCGCGTGAGGTTTTTCCCAGTCAAATAATTTCGGTTGATCAAATAAAAGTTGCGCTACGCAGCAGAATCAAACCAGATAATTCCAAAGTGGTCTCTGGCAAAATCGCGTCATTACGTATTACAAATAACAATTATTCCGATTTTGTGAAATGAGTAGAAGAATTATCTGATGCATTAGAGCGACCTTAAATTATTGAGGGTATGACTCAAGCGAAAGCCTATGAGTTAACAATAGAGCAGACGGTAAACGTTTGCAGGCTGAACAGTCGTTCAGAGCTAGTAGAATCTATTTTAGCTACGACCACCTTTACAGATTCAAAAGATGTAGTCGCAAAACTCATTGTAGAACACAATAATGAAGGCAAAGAGCGGCAGGTGTTATCTTTTAAGTCACGGGCAAACAAACCAAATAGTTTTCGAGGAGGTTTTAGAGGGCACAGCAACTACGCTATCATAACAATAGTTCCAGATTTAATAGCGGCAATACAAATAGGCACAATAATTGCAATGACACAAGGCACTATAATCACAATAATTACAACAACAGAAGTAACAATTCTAACAATAGACAAAATAATTACAGAAATAGCACAAGCAATCGTTCGGCAAATAATAGAAACAGCTCTTCTCGTTCGAATTAGAGAAATACATCTAATGTTAGATTTTTAAACGCCGATGCCCCTCAGGAGCGAACACTGGGGGAGCAGGAGCTAAGCAATTAAAGGTAGTTACCCCTGAAAAATCAATTTACTGCTTGAACCTCAACTATTCTGACTTTATTGAATTAAATTGTACCGATTCCTATAAATTATGCTCGTTTCTCGTAGATTCACAAGCAGACATCTCTTTAATCAAGATTTCCAGTTTAGCAAGAAATTCCTCAATTGACAGTAGCAATACGATAAACATCACTAATCGCGTAAGTACAAACTTGGTTGTATCTAATTTTTTTATTCCGCATACTCTTCACGTTGTAGATGACAGTTTTAATATACCTTCTGACGGCATACTAGGTAAGGAATTTTTAAAGACGAACAGATGTATTATTAACTACGCAAATGACAGTAAAACTATCGGCATTGGGACAAAAAGCACTAAAATAGCAATTTTTCACAGTTCAAATACCGACACTTTAGTAATTCCTCCAAGATGTGAAGTTTTTCGTTTATTTAAATTGACTAATTCCGAAAACCCTGTTTTCGTAGACTCTCACGAGCTTTGTTGTGGTGTTTTTACCGCAAAATTCGTCGCTGACACTAAAAATAATAAATACTACGGACGAGGTAAAATACGTTCGAAACTATAATGTCTACAAAACAAACGAAAATTCCAAACGCACAAAACGTTTAGAGGGACTAAAGTCAATTTTACAAAACCAAATGTCAAAATATGCTAAAAGAAAATTCCTCGAATTATGCTTACAATACGCCGATGTATTTGCCTGAAAAGCAGACCTTATGACACTCTCTATGTTTTATGAACAGAAACTTCGACTGAATGACAAGACTCCCGTTTATATGAAAAACTATCGTTTGCCGTACTCACAACGCGAAGAAATAAATAGAATAATAGCCTTTACTGCAAAATGACTTAATCGAACCAAGCTCCTCAAATCAGTCCATTAATTTTAGTACCAAAAAAGGATCCATCAGGCCAAAAATCGTACCGTTAACAAAAAGCGTATCGCTGACAAATTTCCACTAGCGCATGTAGGCGATATCTTAGATAACCTTGGTAGAGCAAAATACTTGTCTACTTTGGATCTGTTTTCTGGTTTCCATTAAATTCCATTACATAGAAATTCTCACGACATAACATCGTTCAGCACTGACAAGGGCGCTTTTCGCTGGAAAGTTTTACCATTTGTTTTAAATGTAGCACCAGATTTTTTTTCTCGAATGATGTTGATAGACTTTTCAGGCATCTCGCCAAATCAAGCTGATGACGTCATAGTTATCGGTTGTAGAGAGACCCACCATTCAACGAATCTGGCTAAAGTGTTCGAAACTTGTAGAAAATTCTATCTCAAGCTAAACAAAACAAAATGCAATATTCTTCGTTCTGAAGTAACATTTTTATGGCACAAGTGTTTAGAAAACGGACTGCTGCCAGACGACTCAAAAATAAACGCAATCAACAAGTATACAAAACCTTCAGATAAAGACGCTGTTCGTCGTTTCGTTGCGTTTGCAAATTATTATAGACGCTTCATACCAAACTTTGCGTCACTGGCAGCACCTTTAAATAGACTGAGTCGAAAGAATATCAAATTCGAATGGTACAACGCTTGCGAAACTGCATTTGTACACTTAAAATCAGCCTAACAGGTATATTCTGCACGTTACCGAAGATTTTGTAACCGGAAAATTGTATTACCAAAATATGTTACCAGTTCTTGTCACCGCGATTCTAGGTACGTTGGTAATGCAGTTAAAATATTCAGCAATTCAGCTATAAAGAATTGTGCAAATCCTGGCATTGCATATTTCACGGGGCAATAATTTGTTACCAGCTTATGAGATGGTAACAAAATTTACCGATTACAAGAGTATACAGAATGCGAAAAGGGTTTAAAAATTGACAGGAACTTTATTTACCGGTTACAAACTTTTTATTACCAGCGCAGAATAGACCTGTTAATGTCTCCTAAACTTTTGCAATATCCCGATTTACTAAGTAATTTTCAATATCTGTAGATGCTTCTAAAAATGGGTGCGGTGCTATATTAAGCCAAAACCATAATGGAAATGATTTACCGGTATGTTTCGCTTCTAAATTTTTTAAAAAGGCAGAACAAAATAAACCAATCATAGAACTTGAACTTTTAGCTATATATTTCGCGATCAAGCAGTTCCGACCTTATGTTTACGGCACTCACTTCAAGTCTGACCATCGACCCTTAGTTTATCTTTTTAACATGAAGGACCCGTCTTCAAAACTTGCTAGAATACGCCTAGAACTGTCAGAAT